TAACGACACATCCAAATGAAGGAAATGAAGATAGTTATTTTATTTTCGTTTTCAGTGTGACCTGCAAGCCACCAAAAGTAATGTACTTCTGGAGTTGTTCTGTCAGGTCATCAGTGAACCATGTTTTAACACTCTTAGAACTCAAGAGCAGTTAGGTTTGTATGCTAAGCCAATAACTGTATAAAATGTATATTTACCTCGCACACTCCGTGGCTTGGTAGTCGGCGCACACATTTTGGAATCTAAATATCCGGATTGGAAGCCCGGACGTGTCATTTTTGCGATGTTTTTCGGCAAGACACTTTACCGCCTGCTCCTCACTCTACCCAAGTACCGGCCTGTTTTACGCTTTGTTTACGCCGTTTCTTCGAGGAGGAGCGCGGGCTCATTTTCTCATTTTCGAACCAAATCGAACTGCTGTGTGGGGTTGGGGGTGGGGTTGCGTATCTTCGGTTGGTTTAGCATCCCAGGCCGGGCTAAGATTACCCAGGGTTAGTGTAAAATCTGATTTCAGATCTAAAAGCTTTATAGGAAAATTCAGTGTAATTTCCTATTTTTTTACAATTTGATGATTGGATGCTCTTAAAAGAATAAAGAAAATTCAAATCCTAAAAGGCTTTTGAACTAAGGAATAAAGAAACCCGTATTAAAATTAACCTTGGGTTAGCGCTCATCGGCCTTCGAACAACTGGGCCCAGTTTTGGAAGAATAACAACAGTTTAAGTCGCTTAAAACTTAGGGAACCGGAATAAGCTCTGGTAATGTTAAGCTTTTGGACTCGCGACACTTAACCATGTTGTAGCCAATAAACATTTTTGTTTGTTTTTTTTTACATTTCAGGGTACATTGTCTTTAGTGGAGTAAGAAGATGTAACGGTGCTCAGGTTGATATGGATTTTACTATGAATTTTCTGCAAATTCAAGCTAACACTATTTCGGATTTATCCCAAGCGGGATAACTAGATTAAAATTAGCAACTTGGTGTAACCAAGAAGGGTGAAGACATTGTTGTTCTGTTCTCGTTGATGTTCTTGTTATTTTCCTTTTTTGCGCCAATTAGGTCCTTAGCAATTATATCGTGTTTTTCTTAGGCTACTTTTTCTTCTTCTCTATTAACCCGTTAACTTCAAGGAGTGATTAATGTGTAACTTCTCCTTATAATATCCATACAATACCTTGCAAACAGGTAACGAGAATTGTCAAACTTACCAGGTAGAAGTTGATATCTTGATCTAACGCCAAAGTATCATTACTAGTTTACAATGAAATGTGTAGCAGCTAGGGGGGAGATTGAACAATCAGATCTTGGGAGTAAAAGGGTTAATTTCCTAGGTAAGGAAATCTCAGCTTTTAACTGGTTATTCATTAACGCTATTTTTCTCTCCAGGGTCTCCGTGTCTTGATACAATCTGAAAAAGAACCTTCTTTACTAGATTCACGAGTTGAAAACTTCCTTCAAGGAATCGAGGTTTGTTTGATATTTGGTTTCAGGATACTTATTTACAAAGTCAGTGTGATAAAAATACATCTCAAAGTTCAATTTTTTAATTTCAAAAGGATTACATCAAAACAATGTCGGAAGAGGAATTAAAAAACCATATTGAGGCACTTGCAGTGAAAAGGATGGACAAACCCAAGAAATTATCTTCGGAATGTATGAAACACTGGAAAGAAATCCTCTCTCGACAATACAACTTTGACAGGGGTGAGACCAGCAATTTTCCTCTTTTGAGTAAAATTACTTTGTGAATTAAGTGGCTCAACGTTTCTACATTGCTGGGCCGTTGGAGGCCAAAAGCAGAGCTAACAGGCCGCTCTACGGTTCGTTTCTTGCGACACGGTGAATTTTTTCCAGATTCTTTGCCAATACGATTGTGTTGCTGCGATCAGCAACGAGCATATCTACCGCGGTAACTTACCATCTAATGCGATCGCATGTCGAAATAACCAATACATTTCAGATTTGGAGACCCCGTCGGCTTGTGTCATCTAAACCGTGACACAATGTACGTACATGAAAATATGAATCTACCAGATTACAATTCTCATAAACGTAATCGGCTTTACGGTTTAGTTGATTGAAACTTGTTTCTTCTTCAGATAACATTGAGGTGGGATTTCTAATGACTGTCACCAAAGAAGATGTTCTGGCATTTTATCGGGTAGGAGTGTCTTATTTTGTTTTGGGATTCCTCGGATTAGATTGTTAGTAATTGATAAACTTTGAAAAGTGCCTACTCTGAAAACTTAAGCTGTGCAGACTTGTCATAACGATTATCGCAATACTAATTTACATGTAAATGTTTCATGCTCGGATTTGCAGGATCTTCTTGCTTTTAAAGCACCTAGACGGCACAAGTTGGCCGTCCATATTCTATCTAAGTCAAGTGAGTAGAACTTGTAACTGAAATGTAAAAGTCTTTCCCAAGTGATCAATAGATTCCATTTTCCTCGTTCATGTTTAGAAATGGATCACAAATGGCGTTAAAATATGAGAAGAACCAAAACAAAAAGGCCCATGATGACGTCATACATGTCAGTCCTCAAACGGTTCATGAAAGGGACCGATCCAAAATCATTGAAGAATTGACGCTCCTTATTGTTTTCAGGTCATACCACCTGCCTTTGCAAGCTTGAAGCGCAGCAAGCATTAATGAAAATAATAAAAAGTTGATCTTGCTTCTTGTATGAACAAACCGGACTTTGCACGTCATGTGAACCTATATTTCACATTAGGAGCTTGCTGAGTCCACTGACGAAAAAGTGAGAATCATTGTTTTCACGGCAAGAACTCCAACCAGCAGTGAATAATGTTAACCTGTTTTAATTTGTGTTTCTTTCAGAGACCAAGAATGCGGATAACGAGTCTAAAAACGAATACGATGAAAATGAGAAAACCGAAGATGCTGATGCTCTTCCTGCGGTATGTCCTTTTCTTAATCAAAACATCTTTTCTCCACACTTTTATCGCAAACATTTATCAAATTGTATATGAAATGACTGTTTTTTTTTCTCCTTTTAGCAGACCGTTATTGATGACATCACTGCATTTAAGAGTAGTCTTCCATTATTTCCACTTGTGCCACCATACCACAGTCAACCTACGAAATCCAAGCTGTAGACCAGAGAATCAATCTCAGTACTTTCGCTTTCCTTCCTTTGCCTTCCATTTCTCTGTGGTCGTCTTTCGCTAGAGTTCGAAAACTGTTCTTTTTGCGTTAATTTGCTACCTACAATGTTTCTTGATGTGGCGAATGAGCATTTTGACCAGCATCTAATTTCTCTTCACATTGCCACTGCTGAATCTTTCATTAAGATCGTGAGATTAAAGGAAATGATCGCCAACCTAAGAAGCTTTGATTGTTAAACGAATTCCTCCTAAGGAAATTTATAGAGAAGAGTGTAGAGAATATGGGTATTGATGCAAGAACGAGAAGGGTTTAAGTGTTAAGTAAATCTGATTGGAATATTGGTAATTATTCCGTCTCCTGCGAACCCCATTTTTTTTCGTCACGGAACATGTCTTTGGGAGCACAGAATCAGGGCCCGGACGTACGGTGTATTTGCACACGCAGTATTACGTGCGTTCTATTAATAGCTCAATGACCAGCGGCATGTTCGTGTGTACATGTAACAACATTACGTGCTGTGTCGTGAAGCAGAAAGCTCGTGCGTCTCAGAAGTACCAACTGAAGTGGCAAAACGGTATCAAGGATATCAGTGAGAGCTGTGGTTTTGTATCACAGTGAAAAAAGGGTATCCGATATCTTCTCTGTACTAATGCTTTTTTTGGTACATCAGCATTGGTTTTTTTTTTTGCAATTGTGCTTTTTTTTTTTTATTAACGATTAACGCTTAGGTGATCGCTTTCGAGACTCGAGAACAGTTTATTCGACACATCTAGAACATGTTTTGTAATCATTGCTTCATCGTATAGCAATGGCGCAAAGAAATTCCATCAGTAATGATGAAAGTTGCCGACCTCTGATCGCAAAACAGAGTGAATGTGATTGAAGATAATACCCCCTGAAGGAAAATTATGTCTGGCTGGAGACACGTTTGACATGGTTAGTCGCATGTTCAAGTGGATAATGAAAGCAAAGTATTTAAACGTGCACAAGGTTTCAAAGAATATAGACCTAACAAAACTAAAAAATAATGAATTAAAATAGTAAATGTAATCGGAACGAAGCGTTACGTGTGATCCTTTCCTCCGAACAATTAGTTAACTGCAAAAGCTGCAAATTTTATCAGGGTCGTGACCAAAAAACCCTTATGGGGTAACAGACTGGTTAGCCCCAGTAGTCCACTTTGTATAGCACAGATCACTCGGCGTATGGACAATTCTAAAGTGTTTGCAAGGGATTTGCGGCTCAGGAAGCTCAGACGGTTCTCGTATGTAGTTAGTGTCAAAAGAAGCCTCCTGAAACAGAGAGGTGCTGAGAGGAATAGCCCATATTCTCTTCAAGAGTCTCAAAGGGGTGTCACGGAACAAGGAAGTTCGATAGCCTGAATGTTAAGCACAAGGATAAGGACTGTCAGGCCCTCTTTCTCTCCTTCTCTTTTTAATTGTTTTCCTTCCTTTCTTCCCCCCCCCCTCCTCCCCCACCCGAGGTTAAAGCAGGAGTGTAGGAGTTTTGAGTCTCCTTCGATCTCATCCGTAAACCTCATTTATGAGCCTGTATCGAGCTAGAAGTAGATCTACTTACCTTGACCGTAAATGTGATTAGTTAAAACACCAAAGGGAACGATATCTTGATTTTGTTCTATTGGCATTAATAGCAGGATATCATGATGCAAAATGAAGTAGTTGGTGTTTTCTCTAGTGTTATTTTATATCATACCATACAAACCTTATGTAATGCCCGAATTTTTTGTATGATTTGGAATGATAAAAGATTGTTTTGCGGAACTCGTCGCCATGGCCTTAACTAAAATCTCCTTTGGTGTCTACTATCAAGTGCGAAGATTCTCTTTCACCGTAAACGAAAGGTTTGATATTAATACAGCAACCATAAACAGAATAGACAGGATAGAATGGAACAGAAAGGTTTCAGTCAAACACTACTATACATAGCTTTTATTAAGGTGAGATGTTGTGCTCTTCGCCATCTGAGGCGGAAAAAAGACCTGGTTATGGCCTAGTTCAGCTATGGCTCTGAGATAGGGCATATGAGGGCAGAGATATTGGTCAAAGTTTCAATGCCTCATGGGGAATTAGAATTAACATTTCTGTCCCAAGCTGGTGCTAGGATGAAATAACATCTCTCTCTATTTCATTAACGAGCCCAAAATTCATTATCTTTCTTTCTGTGGCTCAGTGGCAGAGCATCGGAGCGCGGAAGTCGAAGGTCTGGAGTTCGATTCTTCATGGGAATCAAGATTTGTTTTGTCCCACGCTTGTTAAAAGACGAAAAAAAATCCTTCTCCCAGAGCAATCATACTTGAAGCCGTCAGTGTTATATCTGATATCTAATCTCGCTCATAATCAAAATGCCTGATTTGAAGAAATTGGGGGATTTGGAAACAAGAAATTGGGGGGTTTGGAAACAAGTATTTGCCAGATTTGTCAATTAACTGTGGCTGTTTTAGTTTCGGAGTATTTTGTTTCAATTTACAGACGAGTAAGCAGTTTTACACTTTTCAGATTAGAAGGAATGTCACCTAATTTTTTCGGGAGTGGGGCTGGGAGTTCTTCACTCTGAGAACGGTGATAATTTTGGAGATTTTTTTAAAAACGTTTCAGGATATCTAGAGGGTTTTGGGGAGATTTTTAAAGTACAAAATGGGAATTTCCGGCACTATCTCAGCAAATAATTTCTTGATGTTTATTTTGTTTCCTCCGTTTCAATGGCCGGTCGTCTACTTAGTCCTCCACCCCACCCTGCTAGACCCGCTAGGACTGTGCTCAGTTATAGGGGAGGGTACGCTAGCATTTTAAAATGGTGGCTGACTAAGCGGACCATTGTTAGAGTTTCAACGGAAACATGCACATTGATCGTGATGCAATATTATGCAAATGACCCAAGGGGAAAGTTGTTGTTCCTCCGTCTCTGTTAATTAATAATGTAACGCTGTATGTCAGCCGCTGTAAGCAAAATTGATTGGTCTGGCGATCTTCTTCTTGTTCGCTTATCGCTGCGTTTTTCTTCAGTCTGAAGAACACAGAGGAACAACCCCAGGTATCAGACACAAGTTTCATGGAGTTAACTTGGCATTGTAGATTTTGACATTAACAAGCAAACACAAAAAGGAGATACGGTAATCTATTTTTCTTTCTTTTGACCTAACGCTAAAATTTACAGGCTGGGATACTTTCTATGGGTCAATATGTTGTCTTAATTTACAACAAAGACTTCGTCCCTGTGATGAGTTATACTCGTCATCTGCAACGTTATAGTGCAAGTTCACCAACACGAATAGAACAAGGAATTACCACAGAACTTCACATAGCGACTTTTAGTTAATTATAATGCGTAGTTTTCTTCTGTCTGGTGTGTTTACATCGTACGATCGTGAGGTTCGTTCTTGTCACCCTCTAACACTCGATTTACAATCATCAAGCAACGTTAAATTTCACAATAATCAAAAAGGTAAATTCCGTAGACTAACTGCGAAACAAATGAATTTATACGAGGCGTTACCATCAAAAGAACTTTAGTGTCAAAGGTCTGGTTTGCCGCAAATTAGAAGACCGGAATTATGTATGCGAGGAAAATATTAAGCTTACCTCTTACAGTTTCTTTTGTGTCAAATGGTTTATATGAAATAATTTGTGGTTTTTAATAAAGAGTGACCTTTGATCGGTCGCATTTACAGTCCTAAATTGTTTCTTTTAGTTGTGCCGATTTTTAACGACTTCAGAAGAACTGTTTGGTAACCCCTGTGTAATTTTCCTTGTCCACCGCTGTATTTAGAAGCTATACTCTAAGTAGAACAAGAGAGATGGTAAGTTTTGAGCTCGGTAAAGAAATAGAGAAAGATGTCTTTTCGTCTTGTCACGAGCGTGGGATAAAGAAACAATTCTGAGTCCTCATGAGGTATCGAACCTCAGAACTTCCGATTTCGCGTTCCTCATGGGAACTCAGAATTGTTTCTTTGTCCCACACTCGTAACAAGACGAAAAAACATCTTTCTCTACATTCTAAATGTTGTCTTTCATGTATTTTGAAATAATTTTCTCCTTTAATGAAGAAATGTTATTTGAGTTGGGAAAATATTCATAAATGTGTAGTTATGTTCACATCTCTCACATTAGCATGATAGTCATAACTAATTATATACTTTAATTCAAAAGACTTGCTCTCCACCTTATCAAATATGAAATGGATGACCAAGAAAAGAATAAAAATAGTGAAAGATAGAAATTAACCAGAGTGTAATATGCATAAATATCAACAAAATATATCTAATAGTATATAAAATAATTGTATAGCAAAGAACCAGTAATATTATTGCTTGTTAAACTGAATGGTACGGAACATTTGATGTCTCTTGTTGATACCAACAAATATGAGGCAAGGTTTCTGGAAAGTTTTTTGTTTTGTTTTTGTTGTCATAATCTTTTTTTAAACATTTTACTGACAACATTCAATACAGTACATAATTTACTTACAATATATAAAATTCCAATAATAAAAATGTTCAATACACATCTCGGAACAAACTATTCCAATGTTATATTAACCAGACAACAGACTAACTTTTGAACTAAAAGCCATTGTTGTTACACACAGGAAAATGAAAAGTTTATGAAGTGAAATATATAATGCTTTTAGTTTTAGTATCTCATCAAGATTTTAATTGCATATTTATTATTTTTGATATGTTCATTATTATTGATATATTCTGTGAATTTTAGTTGCAGCCTGTGTAATCTGGTACATGTCTTGATGACATCCTTACCAGGAAGTCTTGGTTGGCCTGTCACTGGTGACAAAACACTTGAGTTTGCCAGAAACCCAGCAGAATTCATCCAACGCAATATTAAAACATGTAACTCAAGGGTTTTTCAAGTACGAGCACTGAACAAACCTCATGTACTTGTTGCTTCAAATCAAGGAGTCAAGGAAATTCTAGAAGGTGTTGCAAATGGATTTGCATTACAGTGGAACCCTGCTAACTCAGACTTGGTTCACTGGTAGCTCTGTCAATTACTATCAGCCAACTATTTTTTGTTTCCCTCAGGAGTTTGAGTTGGTGGAGTTCCACTGTATCTATGTCCAACAAGAATTGTATTTATTTAGTCGTAGTCTCTATTAGCTCACCTTAACCTTTTGATGGCTAAGACTGACCAGCATTTAATTTATCCTTAAAATATCACCCCTGAATCACACAAGGGTCAGGAGTATAGAGGAAATGATCTCCAACTGTTAAGAGGCTCTTGACTGTTGAACAAATTCTCCTTATCAGCAACTTTGGAAATGTCTCTAAAACAATATGGAGAATATGTATACTGATGTTGGAGTGTAGAATGTTAGGTAGTTCTTTCCAATTACTATTAAGATGATGCTAAATGTTTAGAATCTCATTCACTTCTTATTCATTTTTCTCCTCAAAATCCCCCTCTCTACCCTTATGTTCTCTTCTCTTGATAAAAATATTTGTCCCACATTTGATTTTTCAACCTGTTAAAGTACATTTTTTCTTTTTTTTTTGTAAGATAAGGATGGTGTGCTTGACATGGGCTACAAAGATTTTGGATATATGTATAGTTTATATGGAGACTTAGTAATTTTTAACAGTGATGATGAAGCTATACGGCTAAGAAACATTCTTCACAATGTCTTTCGGCCTGAAGAAGTGACCCGTTACATGGGTGATGTGGAAGTTGTGTCCTCAAGATTATTGAATAGTATTGAAGACAATGGCATTGTTATTCCATATAAGCTGTTCAAGAAGCTCACAACTGAGGTATGCTTGCGATTATTCCTGGGACTGGAAATGGAAACTGCCAAAAAGGAAGCAGAATCTGTTGCTGAGCTCACAATAACTCACTGGCATGGTAAGTCATTGATGATGTAAATTTTTCTTATGGAACAACCTACAAAATAAATAATAATGTGATGAATTTCAAATGAAAATCATACCAATGGCCCAAAAACTTCTTTCATAATACAAATCATGTCATTTAAAAATAGCCTTAAAGTTTGCAATTTATCTAAGTTGAATCAAATTCAAACAAGGGGGTTTTGGGGGCATGCTCCTCCCAAAGCAATCAAAATTTGAAACTATCTGGGAAGTGATTTTCAGCATTCTGGGAGAGTCATTTGTCTGACTAACTTTTTTAGCAAGACATTAATGGTAAAATAAGTTCAAAGATAATCATTTTGTCTTTGATCATAACTGGTGTGAGATCAAAGTGTTTGTTTTGCACATATGATACTTACATTGAAAAAATATTACCAGCTGAGGATATTGTGATCAAAATTTATTGTCGTGATTTAGGCAGTACTGATAAATGTGCCTTTTTTTTCAAGGGCTTATTTCTGTTCCAGTGACTTTTAATGTTTATGGTTATAAATCAGGATATAGTAAGGCAATGGTAGCAAAGGTATTATTTTGTTTAATTAATTCTCTGGTAATATCCAATACCGTGTGATTCACTACCAGTCTAAACAGCAGCACAACTTGCATGTGTTTACAGTAACTGATCACAACTTATGAACATCAGTGACATGATAAAGTGCACTTTGTGTGCTACTTTCTAGTTCTTACAGCATTTGATGTCATCTATGATCAATAACTGCACAGACAAATGGTAAAATAATTTGTTTAATGAAGGGACAATAAACAATAGATTGTTTGCCAGAATATTAATATCTCATGTCAATTATAATTGTTATAGTCAATCACATTTCACCTTTTGCCCTTTATTTATCAAACAAAAGGTTGGTTTAAAAGTAAACAGTAATAAGGAAAAAATTTTTATCACAAAAAAAATGTCATTTTGAATCAACTATTTTTAAATCAATGCAATTTTATAATTTTTCCACAGTCTTTCTATGCTTAGTGGCACTGTATTAAGCAGTCATCCTGTCTATTTAGTGGTTGATTTTCAAATTCCTGACATTTGTTCCTCTTAATTACTGTCAGTAATGTTCACTAAGCAGTCACCTCTATTAAGGGGTCATGGTCACTTTTACTAAGTCCTAACAGCCTGTTTGGATTTTTCTCCACCTGTATTGATCTGTCACGTGGAGCGCGACCATTCAGATAACACTACGAATAATCTTTCAAGTAAAATTTAATCCATTTTTATCTCTCAAAATCAATGTTAGTAGTATCTCTAGAAATGTCTATACATTACAAAGTCAATTAGGGCAAAATATGGCATTTTTGTTGTTCTTTATAGTAGTCCTATTCTGTAGAACCAGTATGTAACAGTTACCACACCATTCCCTGTGGGTGACTGCTTATTAGAAGTTCAACTGTAACAAATATTTCATTTGTTTTGTAGAACAATCTGTTGACAATTGTCAGTAGACGTCTCTCAGAGGAAAAGAATGGGTGAGTACGTCCATGGAGATTTTGGTACTGTTACTATGTTAAATAACAAAAGCAAAAATGTGCTTAAGACAGGCCCTTTGATGCATGCTTTTCCGCAGAACACAAAAAGTGTGTGAAGGTTTTGCACATGCATTGGGCATGTACCTTTGAGCTGTACTGTAAATAAGTTATAATGTTAGAAAAAATGATGCTGATACATTTCACAAAATCTTTATTGAGAAATCTATTCTTTTTCAGGTTCATAAATGTTATGAGAAAATCAGAATTTAAATCCATGACTGAAATGGCAAATCACATTTTGTTATTTGTGTCAGCTCTGGTTCCCAAAGCATTGGCTTCCCTCATGACCTCCTTTTGCATTGAGCTTGCCAAGCCTGAGAATGTAAGTACATTGTTGAAGATCTACATGGGAGCAGCTGAATTTGTTTATATGAGGTTTTTATCATCCCCTTAAGTCTGAAAAAAAAAAGCTCAAAGATTAAGCCATCCCTCAGGCTCTCATCCAGTTGGGAGACAAATGAAAAAGAACAAGGAAGGAGAGTGTAAAATGCTTATAACATCAAGGTGTTGGTCAAAGAGATCTGGAGACTGTGTATGAGTTTGCAGCAAAACATCATAGGCCATGTGACTTGGCTTTTTAATTATTATCGCGTCAACTGAGAGATCAATAGAACAAATTTCAAGTGTTCTGACTTCTCTCATAACTCTAATTTGATTGCTGGACAGACAGTCAGTCACTCATTCATTTGCCTTGACATTGGGCTAATGCTTGAAACATCAGCTTTAGAAACTCTTTACCGTGGCCAATTAACATTATCAACTTAATTGATAAAACTGAATTATTTTTCCATACTCCCCCACCAATGCAGCATCACAGTTTTCTAAGAAACTTACCAGTACCCTTACAGTTAGTCAGTCAGTCAGTCAGCCAGTGGAGGCCTGTCTTCTCTGTTTAGTTTAAGTCACCAATTTCAATTCATATGTGTTGTTGTGACTGATTCTCCAGCTTGAGAAGAGAATCAAAGCAGCCAAGGATGATAGGTATCTGGAAAATGTGCTTTTAGAGATAAAACGACTTTGGCCACCCTTTCTTGGTGGACGAAGACTAGCAAAAGGGGTGAGCATTTCACGTATTTAAGACTGCAATTCTCTTGATTTAATCCAGAGCTAAGTTAAACTAACATGGTTTGAAAACTCAGTCTATTGCCCTTAAAGCAGAATGTTGTTAGTATTGATTATGTCCACTATCACCACTATCACACCAAAAGCATTTGGCCTAAAGGGGGAAAGGGTTGGGGAGATGTAGCTATGTAACAGCTCATTAAATGATGTACCAACCACTATCTGTGTTAAATTTCTATCAAAATTTCTATTCAGTCCTGTGGTGGTGAAGGTGAAGCAATGAAGATTGTAATGATGAAGGTTGTTGTGACTGTTTTGATAAAAGGAAGATTACAAAAACCAAATATTAAGTGACTGAAATAATTGTAGTTGTGAAGATGCATGATCCCACTGTTACTGAAAGTGAATCTTAACTCTTTGCCTTTGGTTTTTCTTCTTCCCACAGGAAGTCATAATAGATGGTTATAAAGTTCCAGCAGGTCACTATGTGGGAATTCTCACAAGAGCAGCAAACTGTGATCCAAAAATATTTCCTGAAGCTGAAAAGTTTTTACCTGAAAGATGGGACACTTGGTGAGGTTGCTAAAAGAAAACTCCCTCTTGGTTTACTTTTTCCATGGCATTATTTTTTCCTTTAACTTAAACTGCAAAGGTTTGTTAGGTCTTGTTTATAATTTGATATTTTCTTGTTCTACAGTAACCAGTTAGACAGGGATCGAGTGTGGACATTTGGCTCAGGTCCTCGGATGTGCATAGGGCATAAGTTTATTCACAAGATTATTAAGGTTTGTACTCAGGATCAAGAAAGGGCAAACAGAACCCTTAGTCTCTTAACGACCATTCCTAAGAATGTCACACTTCCCCCATTGCGTGACATCTTAAAAGAATGGCTGTGAATGAGACAGTGGTCCATACAATACTGTCCAGCAAGGGTGAAGTTTTAAAGTACTTTTCCATGTAATTGAGCTGTTAGGGATTATCATAGCTTTTTAGCTACGTATTTAGTTTTTTTTATCGAAGCTAGTATTTTTAATTTTTTGCAGCTTCTTGCAAAACATCTTCTCCAGTCATACGAGTGGGAACTGGTACCCGGTCAAGATTTGACATACAAATGGCTTCCTGTGTCACGCCCCAAGAACGATGTGCAAGTTGTGTTTACGAAGATTGCGTTATGAAATTGGATTGCCTGGTAACATTTTATTCAAATTTTTAATTTTTTTGCAAAGGTTTTTACTAAATACTACTTTTCTCAACTGATTCCAAACTTCTTTTTAACACGAGTGAAATATATTTTTTTCCTTTTAAAAATGGATGTAACATAAGTAACGAAAGTATTAATCAAGTGTTTTGGACAAATTATAATGAGTATTGTAATCATTAGAGCCTTTCAGTAATAAATGCGCTGTTGAATTTCATTCCTTTGTTCTTTTCTATTAAAATTTCCCTTTGCCCAAAACGTAACAGACTGCTGACAGGGTTCCCAGCTTTTTAGATTGAATCATTACCTAAGCAGAATCATGACGGAGTGTTCCCAAGTGTTAGTTCCAGAAACAGTTAGTTATACTCAACGGAGAACTCCCTCTCAAATTGTTGGTAGGTTAATTAACTCTGAACCGTTGCCATCCCCAAGAAATCAAACGAGCTACATTAACTAATGCACCCATGCACGCACTCACATACACACAAAAAACACAGCTTAGAATGTCTTGGTAGGGAAGTTTACTTTTATTTTATCAACTTGTAGAAAACAACTGAATAAAAACCTAATAATTTGAGCCATTTCCTGGTAGCAAAGGTGTACAAGACAAGTGGCCGAGAGGCCCAACGCGCCGGCGCGCATGCCCTTCATACAAGACCACTGACTTGAACCTCAGGTAAACCAGTAAACTTGAACTCAAGAAAAGCACGAGCCTTAGATATGGCGTGATAGCGGTATTCCACACTTAGAGCCCGAAGTGAAACAAAAAATTAAGTGGCCAGAAGTTCAAAGAGACGACAGAAAGATTAGGCCATGAAAACAGTGAACCAGCACGTTATCGACGAGCGCGTTTTTAAAAAATTAGAAATCCAAGGAAAAAAACAATATCATAACTAGAAAAAAACTATGAACATTCTCTGTTACTTTTGACCAGTAAGATAATACAGAGACAGGACCATTTTTCAGTGAATAACACACGCTAATAATGCAGGCTCGTGCTTTACTCATTAACAATATTATTGAAATTGCTTACATGAAGGTTAAAATACAAGAAAACTTCCTATTAATCACTAAATCGCAATGTACGATGTTTTCCCATAGGTTCTATACACAGTGACAAATTCTACAAAGTAAATGAAAGTCCTTTAAAGATTGGAAAGTAAAAAAATGTACAGAAAACCACGAAATCACAAATTGCAGTTTTCGAAATGCAAATGATAGAGCAGTAGAAAAAAAAATTCACCTATTGAATTAACCGTCAAAAATATCAAGTTTATTTCCAGCACAAGAACCCCTGACGAGCCCTAGGGGTGAAGGAAATTGAATCCAAATTTTAAGAATTTCAACGCACTTTAGTGATATTTAAATCATCTTAAAGCTCAGTATTGATGAATTAAAACAGTGAATATGATGCTCCATACTACCCAAAAGAGATTTTAGAAAAAAAAATAACCACTCTTGAGATATCACGCCTCACTGACACACCCTCACTTACCTATCTGAACCTAAACTGTTACTAGTATCAAAAATAAACTGGTAAATATGTATTATCAATAGGACTGAGTGGAGATCAATTCGGTCTGTAATCATATGAGTGAAAACAATATCGGACTGCCGCGCAGCGGGAGTGCGATTTGTTTATCACGAGTATGATTGCAGACTGAATTGGACAACGCGTAGTCTTGTTACCAATTAATCATAAAAATTACAATTTCCGAGATAGAAGAATAGCCAAGTTATGACAGAAAGGGAAAATTTGCATTGAAAAACTGATCAAAGAGTATAAATTGTTAAATGTCGCTCCAAAATTGGAAAAAATTCTTCATTTTGGAGAAAGCTCCAGTTTAGATTCTGTATACTGTTTCTTAGCTGATTGAAACCAAGGTTCAAACTACAACTTTGGATTGGTTGATTTAATCTACATCTTTGAATGTGATTGGCTTATTGAACTGTCCAATAACAAACTTTCCGCACGTGAATTAGAGGCAAATAGGAGTTTTTTTAAACCAATCACAATCGAGAAAGTTTTAATTTTAATGATAAGCATTGTTAAAAAAAGGCGATAGGTAAATTTATAAAACCGGATTGTCAATCCCACCAAGATAACAAAACCTCAAAATAGAACAATAACTAAAGTAAAAAATACAAAATTGAAAAAACGAAATACATGATGTGCTACCGACATCAATATAATAATTACTCTATCTTTCTAATAATTTCTAATATTTTTATTTACCATTTTAAGTGTTATTGACCAATTAATTCGATTTAAAATCAAATTGATCGTGTTGGACAATCTTTTTATGACACGAATAATTTGTTTTAATTTACCATACCTAGGCCTCACTCGAAACCAAGTGAGCTAAAAGAGGGTTTCCCTTCAAAACCCCCTGAAAGAACGGGTGGTTAGTAAGTTCGATATGAACAAACATCGTTTGACCAAGCACCGGTTATAAAGCTACTGTAGATGAACAAAATGCCAAGAAAACGTCATGTTTTTTTCTTTCTTCAAATATGTTTTGATAATTGGCGAGAATCTTGTGGACTTGTTTTTGATCTAAAAATTTGACTTTTACAATTGAGATCTTACAAATAGTAAGAAGAAGGATGTACGAGAATCTGAAAACGTTAGGAAATTATTTTTTTTTCATACATCGATGGATTTCTTCTTTGAGTGCTAATTTATCAATTGCAATGTGAAAATACAACCTAAAATTTGTATCTGTTTTAACACAACGTACAATTTATCTCAAATCGAAGACTCAATCTGACCGATTGAGAGAAAACTATTTTGGCTCTCTTCACCTGCATTCCTAAATGATAGGAACACGCTGTCATTATCAGCTTCATACCGTGCGAAGCCAGGAACTGGGGATGAGTTTTCTCTGTCACGATCAGCTTCTGCAAGAGCTTCTCCCTCTGGATGAGTCTTCTGACCAGCTGCTCGGCGCTGTAGGCGGAATTCAAAACCAGGCACTGGTGTCTGTGGAGGACTGAGGCGAGTTTGAGACGAGGCTGGATCATCTACATCGGGTATATTGGGGGTGAGAGGGTCGTTTGACTTGCAGAAGAACCACGAACCAAAGTATAGAGCCGTTGAGAGAACTACAAATAGCGGATCAAATTATAATCATCTTCACAAATAGTGTTTTTGAAATAAAAAATGTTTTTTAGAGAATAATCACGCCGGTGCATGATAAGATGTACATCAGCAAACGTGTTGCACATGATAAGTTGTACATCAGCACGCGTGTTGCACATGATTGTTGCACATGATAAGATGTACATCAGCACGCATCGAATCAGAGTGCGATATTAGGTTGAGCTATTTTAACCGTCAGGCTTTATTAAGCATGTCAGATACGTGGGTAGCCCAGACAAAGAAGGAATACAGACTCACTCTGAAAGAACAGGCCTGCTGCTACCAACAAATAGCTAAGAAGTTCGTTGTTGTACTCCAGGCAGCTGCCTCTGCCGCTACACGTCTCTTCCCACAAGATACAGGTCTTGTCAATAAATGCACCGAATAATACAGGACCAGGCATGGAACCAAACATACACAGAAATAGCCACTGAAGACCTAGAGCGTATGTCCGTTGATTGTCTGGTACGCATCTGAAATAACATGTAAAGTTCGCAGTTATTAGCAGATATTATTGGACAACCTAATGAAATCTGATTACAACTTTAACGAGTTTGAGCATGACGATTACGGCGAGATCGAACTCCAGCTCAATTTGCTTGTTTTTTAAAATGTAACACTCAAGTGCAAGCAACACAAAGTTCAACTTTTGCCGTTTGTTGCAAAGGCCATGTGCAACCTCTCGTGTGTTGTAATTCCAGTTTAAGTCAGCAGTCCGTCGAGAAGTTTTGAGACCGCTTCGAAATGCGTGATCTCAGTGATTACGCAAGCTTGATGAAGATCACATCAAAACAACAAAAGCTACTACACAGATAAGAAATGAAACAAATATGATCTAAAAACATACAGATTAAATATAAACCCATAAGAAAAAGATGAGATCCTCATCATAAAGACAACTGTTTCATTCAAGAAAACAGAACATAGATGACCTGAAATTGCAACGATTGGTTGGGAAATATCTTTATTCTGATTGAGGACAGATAGAAAATGTCTTTTAGACACGATGAAAACATTTAAGTACCCACCTCAACACGACAGTTTTGTTGGGCGTGGCATTCATAAAATTGAAGGTAAGTAACACCACAGCGCCGAACAGAAATGGAATCAAATTCTTACAGTCTCGGTCACATGTTCCCTGTAGAGCAGAACCATGCCGAACGGTCCTATCTTGAGGCGCAATACAACGGCAGTTCTCATACATCTGCAGCATAACAGAGAAAACCAAACAATCAAAACATTACATACACAAATCTATTGGTCTGTCAGTTACCACTAATCACTTAATCGGTCCGCTAATCGGTCAGTTTGTCGGTTGATCGGCTAAGTAGTGAACCACTCAGTATGGAGTCAGTCCGACAGACCAACCAGCAAGCTAATCAGCCAGCCACCCGGCTGACGAGTTCGTCATCTGGTCAATAGTCGATGAGTCTGTCAGGTCATCTTGCGAGCCAGTCAGCTTCCTGGTTAGTTCGTCCGCTGGTCAACAGTCAGTCAGTCTGTCAGGTCAGCTGGCGAGCCAAACAGCTGCCTGCTAAGTTTGTATGCTGGTGAACAGTCAGTCAGTCTATCAGGTCCGCCAGCGAGCTAGTCAACTGCCTGGTTAGTTCGTCTGCAGGTTAATAGTCAGTCAGTCTATCAAGTCAGCTGGCAAGCCAGCCGGCCGGCCCAATCCACAGGTCGGTCAGTTACCAAGTTTCCGACGCATTTTCAGTGCAAAGTGAGGAGTCACTTTAACGTTGCTGCTACCTCTCTGTCGGTAACTCTTTTCAATCCCTCGTTAATAGTTCTTTTAGTGCAGCCAGCATGGCATGGTGAGAAGTAGGACACCTCATCGATTCCACACACGGGGTCATACTCAAGGCTGTTACAGTGACACAGGTTGTTACAAGGTGAAGATTTGTTTATATCCACAAGAGTTCTGTAAGGTGGACGAAACAACATGCTTCAATGAGGGAAATACAACAAAAATATAACCACGTAGACCAGCAACCTGACAGAAAGATTTCATATTCATCCATCCTTACAAGTTTCACATTCAGTGAGGCCTACTTAGTGCACGCAAGTAAAATTGAAACTCATGTGGACAAGGGAAACCAATCAGTTGGCTACATGGCAATAGCAGTGCCATGTAGCTAATTTCCAAAATACTATCAGAACTCTTGAAATGCCAAGCCAAGCAATTCCGTTATTCAACCTTTAAAAAATTGAAAGCAGCGATGAAGAAAAAATTCGTTACACGTGAAACATTTTTGAACAAATGATGTAGTAGGAATGGAAACCATACATTTACCACAACACAAACCCCTCATGAAGCAGATTCTTCCCAAATCTTCATTCGTAAGACTTATTAACAGCAAATGTATGAAGGAATATACATCTTTTTGTTCACCTGTTGTTGTAAGGATGACTGATACCAGCGAGCAGTGTCGTCTTGCAACCGGGAATTAGAAAAGTAAGTACAGCCCAGGTACCGATAAATTGAAAGATAAAGCAGTACTTGGCAGCTATCTTACACGACCGTCTCACATCAACTCTCTTGATCAGGTAACTGCCCAGGAATATACCGCCGGCAGTGCCTGGGATGATGACAATACCTGACAGGATTCCTGCAGAAAAAAAATTTGTACTGTCATGCAACCTGAGGTTATTACACTGAAAACAATTTACTAATTTCCCGTACCCCGTCATATTCGTCGCTCTGCCAAACGACTGACGTTCAAAACGTCAGCATTGAAACTCTTCTTGGTGGCCAATTTACATTATCAACTCAGTTGATAAAACCGAATCATCTCTAATAAGTCCCCCATTTAGAGCATCAAATTTTCCACAAGTCTCTTTTCGCTGTAATTATCAAAGATTTAATTTAAAATAGAAAAAAATAAACTCACGCAAAACACTAATCCTTAAGAATTGTCCGAGAGTTCGTCTGTATTCTACACTCACCTGCTGTCGAGGAAGATTTCCCAAACTGCGACTGGATAAACTTGGAGACAAACGGCCCCAAGCCTGTTGCAATGAGAGTTGTACAACAAAATGCACAAGTATTGAACATGAACACTTTGTTTGTAAGGATAGCTTTAGTGGCTGGTAAAATATCCTTCAGTCGGCCTTGAATGTGCTCGTCGCTAGGCGGTAAAAGTCCTTCCCTAATGGCGGCCAATCTTTGTTCACGGGCTCCTGGCATCTCTCTGGGGTAACCAAGAAGTGCTATAGAGGTACATAACAGTAATAGACCCCCGAAAAAGTACCCTAGCCACCAGGCCCCAATCCAGCGAGGATCATCAGGCGTCAAGTCAACTCCGGGAGGCTGGAGAACAAAAGTGAGAACAAATTCCTTCAGATTATAGATAAAGTATCCATTATTGCGCATCTAAACAAGATGTTCGAGTCTATGTACTTTCCACAAGTAAAAAATATTAAAGTTGACATTGTGTCATGATACCATCGAATAGACAGCGCGACGACAGGTGAAATATGGAGTTATACAAAGTAATATGAAGTAAAGAACAAGAAAAACGATTGATAAAGAATAGGACTATCAATAACTGATCTTGTCACGACTTTCTGCTTAATAGTTTACAGCAATTTTTCCCTTACCTGAATTAAGTCCACCCACACATTAAGAAGGGACCCTCCCGCAACGTAACCAATTCCAGGACCAAAGAAAGTTGCTATAAACCAGACCCCAAGATACATGGGCGCCGCCTTTGGGTTCACATTCTCGTCAATATAAGCCGGACCAAGTGTAAACAAAGGGGTGGTTCCTGCCCCTAAAAGAAGCTTCGCCCCGACAAACACCAGCATATACTTCCAAGCTGTATAACCTTTGGCTTCAGCACACGCAGTGTCATCTTTAGGGATCTTGGTACTATTGAACCAACACGTTTGTTCGCTTCCACTCGTCTCAACTTTAAGAGGGGTGTACTTGCCTACAAGGATGTGAGGTAAGGCGAACATCAAACATCCCAGACTAGTTACCAGTGCTCCTATGCCCAGCCAGCGGGCTTTGTTCCTGTGACCTCCGAAGTAACTAATGAAGATGATAAGAATCAGTGCGGAGACGTCATTTGCTGCAACAATCATACCACTCTGCTTGCTGGTTAGTTTGAATCTCTTTTCCAGCGAAGTAAGACCAGCAGCCGTTAGACCTGTCGCAATCATACCTAGAACGACACAACAAGTATATTTTGACTTCCATCAAAATTTTTATTTATTATCATCAGATTTTTGGAAAGTAAAAAGTCCAGCTCAGTTCACAAAGTGTTTAAAAACGAAAGAACAATCTTTTTCCCTCAAAAGGGACGCTTGCCTGGTGCAACTCATACTCAAATACATAGGTGCTCCTCTGCGTAAAGAATGATCTATCTGACAGCAATTCTTTCCCCAAAATATCAAAACCGACAGGTAAGCAACGAGCTGTCGTCACGGACTTCAAATTCATTCCTCAACAGTAGCCACCACTATGATTTCAAATTTGAAGTGGTTCGTTAGCATAATAAGGATCAAATAGTCCCAACAACAATCTGAAACAATCAGTCCAATCTAAAGGAGTGCTTAGACGAGATTACACCATAAAAAGTAAAAACAGTAAACAAGAACAAAATTAGGAACAATTCTTGAGAAGAGTTGTCTTACCTTGCATGAAGGAGTATATGGTGAGAAACACAAGAAACCATTTTGGTGTGTTGAGTCTTTGAAGAACTTTAGGCCTAAACGATCTCCAGCCGCACAATAAAGCTCTCTCGTCAGGCTTCACTTCGTCAGCTTCCATATTCAGAAAAATGATAGAATTTACCGCTTATATGTCAACGTTAAGGAGAAAAACATGGCCCTGAGAGGAAGACAAATCATAATATCAATACAAAATACTACAGACTGAAAATTACATGGAACAAAACTTACTCCAAACGTTTGCTTGAACAGCGCACGGAACTTTTCGTTAGCCAACGCCTACCTAAAATTCATGCATATTACGCAAAACGATGAGCTCTCCTTTCATTTTCCCTATTTATGAAATAGCACGCATACTGAAACGGCCTCTAGGGTAAAAAAAAAGCTTTAAAGCACACAACACTGTTCGAATTTTCCCCATTTTTGTAATATTTGCAAACTATTGCTTAAGCTGCGTGCATTAGTCCGTACCATCGTCAGAATACAAGGGAAATACTTGTAAGTGATTTCTATGAGCCTACAACAAATCCACACCGTTGATTTCCTCATGGCGAGATCATCGTTTTGGCAAGAAGACAATTTATGTTAGAAAAACAACAAAGCGAAAGGATGGTTTGAAACGTGCTTATTCCAAACTAAGAAATTACTGAAGCAAATTTTTAGCTCACAATTTGCATGATCTCCAGTCACAGACCTTTCTAAAAGTCACTGTATCAGGAAATTCCGCTCTCGACAGAAGCAGAAAACTTATCTCCCTCGACCACACAAGCTGGTGATTGGTTTGTAGATAAAACCATGAATTACACTGTATATTAAGAGGGTTTACCGTGTGTTTACACAAAGATAAAAATTGGGAAAATCTGGATGAAGCATATAAAAATCGAGCAAATAATATTACTTACGCAAGAACAGCCGGTGGAATTTCCTACTAAAACATAGTAATCCGGAAATTTGGTTTACGGAAATCCCCCTACCCACAATTAATACCTGTTCTTGACAACAAATCTGCCAGTCTCTCCTAATTCCGAATGGAACCTGGACTTTAAGGCGAGAGGAAAATATTGTCTCCATGCACCAGTCTTCTTGTGCGCTACATGATTATCTTGTCTAGACGGCTAATTTTCATTAGAATAATTCCACTAAATACATGCAATAAGTGAAAGTGCTTTCAAACAGAATTATTGCAAGGTCGACGTTGTCTAAAGAAGTTTTACCGATCACAAACTGAAACAAATTCACCAGCTCGTAATTTCAGACTTACCTAGTTCCCATTTTCTTAAATGACGTGAAGCTTATCGAAATAATTACTAGAGAAGACAAAATGAGTGGACCGCAGTTCGGAAACAGGTTGTTAAAAACATCAAAACCTGAAAACGACTGATTAGGAATTGCAAACAAGGGAAACATCGCCGTTGACAACTAATGATTTGGATTGTATTTTTCTGATAAACAATGTCTGGTGAATTACGGGAAAAGAAGAACGTAACTTGTCTTGCAAATGTAAATTGGTGCATACTTTCAGAGCAAAATCCTGTAAACTATACCAGCTAAATTCCGATCTGATGAAAGCATTCATCTTAAATACAAAGGAATTCCCTCAAACATTTACCTACAGTTGTTTTTTTCAAATTTTGTTGCGAAATTGATTGTCTCTGGATTCACCTGCGCTCTCCGCAGTTGTTCGCCTATTCGATTTTTAAACGCAATTGTTTGTCAAGAAAAGAGAACCATTTCAACTGATTACCAATCCACCGATAATTCTTTCAAGGTTATCTTCTACATTGACACGTACCATGATCATTCGAATTTTTGCACAGTCAGGAGTCTCTTGGAAGGTTTTCGCGACGTCCGCATTTCAAGGCTACTAATGCAACAACAAATACACCGAGCTCTTGCTTTACTCGTTTCCCTCATCAAACCTAACGAAGTTCAACGTTCAATAAACTGTTTCGCGAATGTTTGATTTCTAATAACTATTCTTTGAATATTCAAAGTTGAAATCTCACCTTTCAGAAACTTCCAGTCGAAGCTAAACGCACTCGGACAGAGCTTTCCTCGTCATAACGAGTAAAATCTATCAGAAAAGCGGGCTTACTAATGGACCATACACAAAAACAACACCAGCTGTATTGCTGGGATAATATCAAAACTTTATGTACATTGTTATTCGAAGAATACAAACAGTGGGTTACCGGCTCAGGAGGTGCATTTATAACTACTAGTCAAGTTTAGAAAAATCAAACGAAAATCTAGATATACTGATAAGATGAAACAAACTTCTCGCTTCGAAAACAAGACAAGTTCACGAAACTATGTCGTTGTGTTGGCTTATTCACGAATTGGTTCATTATATAATTCTAAAAACACTCTCATTGGAAATTCCCCCATAACATACCTTATTGCGAAACAACGAGTGCTGTTATTGGTTAATCAATTCGTGTGCTTGGATCTGTTTAAATGATGGTATGACGTCACGATAATTCTTAAACCTCAAAAACAAACTGATTACATTACATGCTTACTTTCAAAAGCATCTTGAAAATTTAGCTTTAAATGATTTGTAGTTCGCATCTCTTTCATCATCCCTTCTCTTTCTAAATATTAATTCATGTGCAATTGTCCTAAAGGAAAATGAAGGAACTTCAAATTCAGAGTTCTACAGAATTAAGAAGCAACTACGATGTGATTTGTGGATCACAAGGACATGAAAAGCGATGTGCGCTTTCGATATCAGTAACATACAGGATTTGTCCTCTTGCAGCTTCGGCACTTACTCCAACGATTAATTATACCTCAAGCCTCGTTTCTTCCACATTCGAGGAAAATCATCAATGAAAAGTAAATGAAACTCAAACTTTTCTTACCGAAAGTTGTTATGACCTAGAGCACAATACGTCAGCCAATCAGAGAGCACATCACGTCTAATGAGCCAATCAGAAACACTTGCCTAACACCTGCCCTTTGTAACCATAGCAATGACAGCCTGTTCAGAGGTGATTTGCTGTTTGGTTTTGACTGCAATTTCTTCAGTTTCAGTTATACCCAAGTTAATATCAGCTGAAACTCATGTACGAGAGGAATTAGCTAAATCGATTCCGCTTTTGCTCGCCCCTTTGGGTGACAATGTTTCACACAATATGTTGACAAAAATATTGTCAGGCAAAGCCTGAGTTTAAGAGGAAAGCATAAATTTTTATCAAGCTCTCAAGCCCCCATAAATTTTCCAAAGAGTTTTTTCGAAGGCACAGAGGCCTAGTTCAACCATAAATTTACAGATCAGTTCCATCGTTTGATTTAGAGATAAAAATGAACAATAACGTACGGTCAAATCTACCTAAACTTCTTGAGTAAAACAACCATTCACGACATTGAAAAAGAAACATAACTGGGATTCCTAATAACGATAATTTTTGTAATAATGCAACAAGGAAACCTTGATAAATATTACATGTTCTGAATAAATCATACTCGCCTGTTGAAAAAATTTTACAAAAATCGCTAAAAGATGCATTTGGGAAAAACTATGCTCGAGGAAAAGTGCATAGAAATTGCCTAATGCATCCAACCTAAGTGACCGCTGTTCATGAAAGTTTATGGAGCAGAGGAGTGAATATTTGTAAGCACTTTGTCAGAGCATCAAGAAAAAAAATTAAGAAATAATACAGTCGCTATCAGTTATCATTTATTCGTATTATTCTGTGACTGCAAAGAAACCATAGAGAAACTCTAAAAAGGGCACACCCTGTATTGATGATATCAATAAGGTGCGCGAAAAATACTTCTTATGCATTCCCTTCGTGTAAAAACTACAGTAAATAATTGATTCCAGTTGGTCTTAATAGCAGTAAAGTATATGACTTGAAACATCCTTCACACTGTGGTCAGTACAAGCAAATACTTCTCATAACAAAACTACGTTCTCCAACGCGGAAATAAAACAGCTTGCTGATCAGCGAAACAAAGCGCGTAATAACAAAGCTGAATCCCGCCAGCCCAGCAGAGAAAGTTAATAATTCGACAATATTAATAATGGCAATTTAAAAATTGCAGGCATGAAGGTGAAACAATCATCAAAAGGGAACCTGTCACAGACCACAGAGACATTTCTTCTTTATTACCGATAAACAAAATCAGCTAGTGACATTCACGTTTGACTAACTAGGAAACATGTTCAGCTGTTTGGTTCAATGATACTGTAGATAGCTGTAAAACGAACAGTCCTTGGTAAGATCAAAAATGACAGCCACAATATGTCAATACATGACAAATTTTCGGTGGTTTTTACAGATAGCTGGATGACTAACTTTTAGTAATGAACTGATTACCTAAATGATGTCTAAATAATAACAATTTCACATTTAGATTAGCAAGCAGAGGTTACTTGAAGAAACAGTGTTGTTATGGTCAAATACACAATTTCAAATGGAAAAAACTTTTAAATAACTTCTATAGAGGGTACACTGCATTCTTTTTTTTCAAACTAGGAAACACAAAGGTATCCTCATATCCAACCTTACTGTAAACAAAAAGGGAAAAACTGCATTTACCAAATTTGAGATAGCTTAATTCAAAACTCTAGTTAAGACGAGTAGCCACTAAATCGACAGTTACCTTGCGCTTGGAGATAATTACTTCTCTTATGCATGTATATTACCCCAAATGACTAACTGAAGCCGGGAATCATTCGAATCTATTATAAGAGATAAAAGGCAGTAGAGCACCTGCCTATGATGACATGACTACCGCCACCCGGTTACGAAATGATTGCTGTTTAGAAAGAAAATCAACAAGGTCAGAGCCACTAAGCATATCTTACAAAGATTTTTGCCAATGCGTATGTAAGAGTCCAAATTCAAAGCAGCATCACCATCAAGGCACTAAAATTTAAAAGTGTCCTGCCTGTTCGCGTGAACATGCCATGCAGATTCATCACTAATCCATTAGCTCTAGCTTTCCATCACACAATTCACAGATAACTACTCAACTTATATGAGTACAGTATGTAACTTCCTGTTGTAAATGTCCGTTCCTGAACCATATAAATTTCCGTACCCAAGTTTACCATCACGGTAGTTTTTCCTTTGCATTAAACAATTTTTTTTCTTCTGAGATTTTAATTACGCTGTTTCAATCCTTACCGGTTATTAGAATTTTGATCGATTACATTTCACATTCTGGGAAGAAAGCCCAATAACAAACTCAAATACTGTCTTCAACTTATCCAAATACCGCGTAGCTTCGCTAAGTATTAACTTCTTTGTCTTTCTTACTATTCACCGTCGATATTATTAAATGTCACTGATGTTAGTAAACAATAACTTATTCTACTATGCTATACCTTCAGCTACTGTAAACTTGGCCGTTTTTTATGTAATCTTCACCCGTCTTTGTATGTCATCGCATTTTTCAGAATAATCCTCAAAACAGATAAAAATTTTTTGATAATCGCGGCCAATATGAGCCGTCGCGTTTCATAATGTTTCGTGACTATAGCTACATGTAAGTACTTTAAAAATTAAAGCGCGCTCAAGTAGCATGAAAATATTCTTGATAAGTTGCGCCTAATAAAACCTCGAGAGCAGAAGTTGCACGTGCGTAACTCATCTAAGGAAAAAGTTTAGTTTACATAGCCAAAATCTCCTCAAACACGCTAAAAAAAGAAAAAATGATACCAACACCCTACCTTAGCGAGTGAATCACCACTTTAAAGCGAATTAACAAATGAATTTTTACAACACTTTAAGGGTGTACTATCGAGAAACGTTCATTCGCCAGTGAACAACTTACTTCCAGATGATTCTGAGAGACGACATGTATTCATTGTATTGTCGTAATTAAGACTAAACCGTTGGCAACGAGAGGAAACTGTCAAGTAGGTCTTCGCATAACATGGCGACCCGTACAGTACCGACTTCGTCCGAACTGGGACGAGTTCAATACGATTGATAATCGGAAATTACGATGAACACCAGCTCCGACAATAAGACCTTTTAATAAGAAAAAAACTTTCATAAAAGAAAACAAGTCGTTTGAATCAGTCCATAGTTTCAACACTGTCCTAAGAAATATATGAATGTGGATCAAGCTGCAAGAGTAAACCTCATTTCCTCGAGAATACCATGCAACTGTCCGCCGAATTGACAAAAAAATACGAATTTTATTAGCTGTGCATCTGTCTCACGAATGAAATTAGCTCCACATTATAATGAAATCACAAAATTGCATAACACCAACTGAGTTACATAAGGTACATTTATTTCGCGAAACTCTCATTGTTTACCATAGATCTATAATCTCAAATTCCCTACAACATTTAAAGGAAAACTCGACTGGGCGAGCAACTTTCGATATGTGATAAAAAAAGATTAAAAAAAAAAAAACTTAGGTTCGTTAGAAATGCGGCCAGTTTACTCTGCAATAACAATTTTACGGACGGCAGGGAGCGACATAAGTTTTCGGTTACGGGAAATTAAAAAGAAACAAATTGTTATTCCAACCGTCACATGAAATAAATGTAATTTATAAACAGCGAGAACGCTTCTTTTGCTCGATAACTTCGCTTCAATCACATTGTTCCATTACAACGTGGTAAACGAAAACACAATTGTTCAATATGCACTGGAAATCAATTCGATATATCAATAAGAAAGATATAAATCTTACGACAGCTCGAGTGTTTTTAAGGAAAGTTTCAGTAAAAGACTGTCAGATCGCGGTTCAGTTAATAAGAAGAAAAAAAAGTTAGCGGCGGTCGCGCACATGAAAAGTTCTAACTGTTCCTCAACGAATCCAAAACTACAACCTTGGAAGTCTAAATTATCCTTATCTCATACCTCTTTGATGAAAAAACTACTTCTTGACGAAGATACTCCATCGTTGCACACAGCGGATTAATAGCGACTAAAACCGTAACGCCGCGAACAGAAGTTGAGGTAAAACCGCATACAATCAATTTTACAACATGTCAAATCTGCGACACAGCTGCTAACACCGGTGTGATCATTTCGCTTTGCCTTTTTTCAATTAGGCTTGAAAACAATACTGAAGCAATTATCAAAAGACAACGGAAGTTTCGTCTGCCTTCATTGAAATCAGCTTCCTAAATTTGACTAAAACTTACAGACAACAGTTTGATGTGATAACTCGATATTGGCGTGTTAATCGCTATGATCTGATTAGCAAAGAGTAAGGTAAAACATTTTAAAGTTCATGTGAGTGATGCGCGAGGCTGCTCCTTTGTATCTTTTGTACTTGTCAAATAAGATCAGAGGAGGGTTGTGTTCGTCATTACTTATTGTGTCCATGCTTGCTTCTCTGCCAATCGATTAAACGCGATGATTAAGTCCACATAAGGAGTAGAAACCAAACTATATCGCGGAAAAGTCTCGCGGTGGCCCGATGTTTTTTTCAAAACAGAACCCATGGATTGCGCACAAGTTAGCCAGCGTTTATTAAAAAAAACATGAAATACAATTTCTTAAATATATATTTGATTTTCTCTATTTTTCACTACCTTACAAAGGACCTAACATTAGTAGTTGAGAGCCAATTTCACTCATTTAGGAACTTCCAAGAGTTACGCTGGCAAAACTGAATATCAGATGTGTTACATGTACATGTCGAGGGAGGGGAGGGAGGGGAGAAGGGAGCAAGGG